AATGTTCGTCTAGGTGTGTAGATTTACAAACTGACCTTACATTTTTTTAAAGTCCCTTGGGCTCTGCCCCAGTAGCTTTTAAAGATCCCATGTTATCGTTATGAAGAACACATTTGTTTACATTATGATCAACTGGATCATTTAATTTCTGTTAATATTTTAGTTGCAATTTAAGGAAACGTGTGCTACAAAGAATATTTAACATATTTCTAGATTTAATGGTACCAAGATATGTGTACATGTATGAAAAGAGGAAAAAATAATTCTATAACCACTTTTTGTACATTGTATAATTTTACCCGGGCAAAGCCGGGCTTTGCTGCTAGTTCACATAGAAACCGTTACCAGAGGAAGTTGAACAGCCTCATTATATCTTTGATATTAGAAAGTGAACTCTAGAAAATACATAAAATTCCACGGGGGAGAAGTCTTGGAGGAAATTACCCTTTTTCCCCATTCGTTCCTCCATTGAATATTGGCTGCAAAATGACACATCAATCGTAAAAATCGGTTGAGTAGTACAGCTTGAAAATGGATGTAACAGAGAAAACCCCCACTGTACTGAATATTTATTTTCTATGCTGTATGATTTTCAACCAAACCTTAACTCAAACCTATGTAGAACCAATCACTGTCTCTACCCTTTTACAAAGAGACTTGTCAAAAAGCTCTTAAAATAATTCTTGAAAAGCGTTTCAATTTGTCACCGCGGCCATGCGTGAATGAGAGGCTTCCACCGTGGCATCGGTTGGAGGAATGGCTCATATAAATAGCTGGGCTGATGTCTGTACCGTCTGTAGACTTGTGGTAAATAATTCGTTGGCCCTCGACAGCGCATTGTTCCGTATGATTTAAATAGTCCGATGAAATCATCAATTCGGGACCACCGCAGGTTGGAAATAACCTGTTGGGTGATCAAGTATTTCGGTTGCTTTCGGTGTAACTTATGAATTACCCCATAGGGAAGAAGCTATTGCCGTAGATAGGTGAGACTCGGGATTTACGTTTTCAACGTTGAAGTCCCCAATGATCAAAAACGCTATTCTTTAAAATTAGTATGTATGTTGTATGTAAATTTAAGTATTTTTTGTCAGATTGTTGGCAATAATGTGTAAATTTGGATCAACTCGAACGAGTTTGCAAACCAGCAAGATAGAAGATGAAACGCGGTGTTAAGGATTTTTATAAGTTTAAAACATTGTTTTTGTCAAATATTTTCCCCTTAAAACATAGAAATGCTAATTATCATTACAGTCATCACGAAAACATACATCAAACATTTGACAAAAGGGGCAAACGAGTTATATGGCAGCCGTTGAAAGATTTCATGGATTTGCAATGGGGGTGGCCAGCCAGGAGTCTTTAACGTATAACGTAAACGTATGCACTTCAAATAAAAGGTAATTTATGTGTAGAATAGAATGCATCAAACCCGAACTTAAACGGACAAAAGTTTTAGAATTACCCTTTCGGTGCGTTAAAACAATTTCCTCAAATTCTATGGTGTAAAAATAGGAGGGTTGTTAACTTAACTTAATTAAGAGATAACCTAACTTAATTAATCCCCTATCTCAGTAAAATAAATTAATGTATAAAATAAAATTTTAGACACTAGCGCAATCCATGACTGGCTCACAGCACTAAGCTATGATGACTACTTCAGTATACAATAGTCAATGCTTTAACTCCGAAAAAGAAATTCACCTTTTAGATCATACGAATTACATTATATTATTTACATGATTGATTGTTGCTACAATAGATTTACTTGATCTAATCACACTACGACCCTTTCCATTTATTTAAAAGATCAAATAAAACAACTACAACTTTAATTTATTTTTTACAAGGAACCTACTACAGGACCTAGATTGATATAAATCTTGACTCGATCCTTAACAAACACAAAGAATTGTCTCATTATAGTCTCACCTATCACATAATTAATTTGTGTGACAAACTACATCAACGCATATCGCATGATTTATTGAGTCGTGTACGATTTTAATTGGACCTTAGGATAATTAGGTAGCACACCTGTTAGCATGTATTTCATGTCACTAGTCGACTCGTTCATAAACTACTTGACCATAAATTACAGCGTAAAATTGTAGTGACCTTCAAATCTGAAGATCACTGGTTAGATTCCAAGCAAGATCGTGTTTACATGCTAATGTATTTTTTTCAATAATGATTCGGCGTTAGATAGTAACAACACTAGGTTTAGGAAATTGTAGGATTTCACGTTACTGATTGGAATTTAAGTTAAAGATTTTCTCAACAATGTCAAATGTATTCCTAATTGAATTACAGGACCCGTCCTAGCTAAACGACGAAAAATCGGTCGGTCGTCCGTGCAACCGAATCCGTTGCACCTAAACGGCTGAAGAGAACGAAGTCAACAGCCTCAGTCCAGTAGGGTTTCAGCTCACTGGATTGGAACGTCACGAAGAAGAAGTAGATTTCAAACATGTGTATAATCATGAGAGCGTCCTAGTTGGGCAGGGCCGCCCTGTGCTTGATGTGGGCGGCCGTCGAAGCGACCGACGGCCGCCCCGGATGACCGACACGTCCGATCAAAGGACAAACTTTAAGATTGCAGCTGCGGGAAAGGGAATAGTGTATTTTTCACTAACATGTTTAATAGCCTAGCATGATATAAATCAATATGCCAAATTTGATCCAAACTAGCAAACTAACTTACTATATTTCTTTCATTTTTATTACTCCTAAATAATAAAATGGGGGATTTTTTCATAAGGGATTTTGTAATTTTCTTCGTAACCACTAATTGAACAACAACGCTTAAATAAAAAAATGTCTTTGATTTTTTAAGCTTTGCAAAATTGTTGAGAGTTGAATTGCGAAATTTTACCTTTTGGGTGTGGAAAGGGGATACCCCATTTTCTTACTCTATAAACCTCGTTTCCACACTCAGATCATGGTGGTTCTTGAATTCTTTAGAATAAACGTAGGTTAACAAGTTTGTACTGAATTTAATTAAAACCGGATAATCTTTACCTATCTAGCTAAAGGGTACACACGCATATATTGATGCAAACGGATTGTGTTTTTTCATCTAGGGACATCAAAACGATAAAGCTAGTCCCGGGTTCAGGTCATCCCATGCATGATACCTCTTGCTCTGAGATGATACATACTAAAAAAACTTGTTCCCTATATGAAAAATTCTCTAAAAATTACCTTTGGCGTAAAAAAATCACACCGAGTTCACGATTGTTTACACAGCAGCTCATTAGAGACATTTCCAGAATGTGTGAAGCCATAAACAACGTCCGATATCAACTGATAAGTTTAATCTTGCATGTCATTGGACGGCGTCTTTCAACTGACAGCTCAGCCTCGGCATCTCAATTATACACCAATTAACATTTTACGATCATTAAATCAGGAAAAAATAAAATAGCTTTTCTTATCTGTGTGATACCCAGCCGAGCCATTGACGCGTTTCTTTGTATTTCACAGCGGCTTGTTTGTTGAAGATGTCACAGTTTTTGCAGAGATGTTTTTCGCAGATGAGTTATTTATGAAGAAGTTTTTTTGCTTTAAGGTCTTTATTGCAATCAGTTCAGAGAATAGTTGTTATGTAGGATTTGTGATAAAATATTTGCAATGTATAATGCAAGTATTCTGTACAAATAACATTGATTTTACATACTGAAGTACTATCTACACGGACCACGGACCAGCCAATAACCACTTTCTTCTCGTATACAT